AGCTGGAAACCAAATGTTCAGTTACAATTCAAGTCGCCAGTTCAGTGTATTGAATCCCTATTCAAAGTTTATATGCATTGACCAAAAAAGAAGTAGCTCCTTTGCTGTGGTTTCTGATCTTCAGATGCAAGACAGGGCATGCATTTCAGCATGCCTAAATATTTACAAGTGCCTATCTGTGTGTACAGGCAGACTTTGATTTTCATGTTTCCATCAGCATTTAAAAAAACATTGTTTTGAAGACTTGATTTTTAAAGATTATTAAGTGAGGTAGCATCCACGATGAACTTGTCCTCAAGGTTCCTCCTGGAAGGTGTTACCCTGCTTTGGTGGCCTGTCTCTGGCTGTAAGAAGCTTGGAGTGGATCATTAGTGTAATCCCAAAGCAGAAATTGGACAGTGTGTTTTCAGATGTGTAATCCATGGGTTGTCTGTCCAAAAAAGTCAGTGGTTCAAGCAGTAATGTGAGTTGTGTCTGTTCTCACAACTAGCAGGTCCTGTCCACGCTGGTGGCCTTCCCCCATCTGCATCTCTCATCATCTGATCCCTCTGCCTGGTGCCTTCCCCTTCCCCTACCCCTCATTTTTTGCATGTTATGAAGGATTACATTTCAATGCCATTATTTTTTAAAGGGTATGGGTTATCTGAGGCGCAGGCTGTACATGCAAAGATACAATAACTGTAGCACAGTAGACAGCCCAAGCCAGGTTGACTGTGAAAGCTCTCTGCTTATGGCTAATCTGATATTTTCAGCTGTGCACCAAAGATGAATCAGTTGTGGAAGGCAGCAGAGAGTTTGGGTTATCTCAGGGGCTATTTCAAATGAGGGAATTTGTGCACCAGGCGCAGGGGACAGATGCGTGAGTCTCCTGCAGAAGGAGAGGAACTCTTGAGATGCTCCTGGCTGCACCGGGGAGCGGATGCTTGAGGATTGCAAAGAGCCCACACTTGCTCTCTCGTTCTATTTTTTCCACGTTTTACCAGCTTCAATTTGACAGTCGATAACTTCATTCTCAGTTAATTAAGGTTTGTACCAGTGTACATGAGAGCAGATCCTGGGCCTAGCCCAGTCTGGATCCTTTCTCCCTTTGCTTTTGGGTCAGGCTGCAGCAGTTTGGCTGGACTCAGCCTAGGAGCACACTGTGAACGGGAGGCTTCTCTGCTGCTTTGTATTTATCCATATCAAGTTCGTCAGATGAAGCCAGAGCTTCCTGGGGCCATCCAAAGCTTCCTGGAGGGGGTACTCTCGCAGACAGATGTGGCTCCTGGAAGGCAGACGGGTGTCTCGAGGAGGCAGACATGTGTCTCAGGCTTGGATCACTCCTTTTGGACTATGCGGTTGTAAGAGCATTTTCTTACAATATATTTCCTTGGGGGAATCAGATGGACTTAGATCTCGGATACCATCCCCACTAAGTGATACAGTAAAAATAACCTATTATTCTCTGGTTCTGACCTGGGCGGTGACAACATATTGTTTCAGCATCTCTGTCAGACTATTTCCCTTAAGAGCCATTTTAACCTCACCCAGTGGGACATAACTAAAGGAAATGAAACTCCAACCCCATTAAGGAAAAAGACAATGCCTTTCACTAAACAAACTTGATTTTCTTGGCTTTTCTTCTCCAAGGAGAATCGCCCGTACCCCCCACCCTTGCAGCCTTTGTAGACAGTTCCTGTAATTGGGAATGACTGGGTGGACACCAATGGTTGGCAGCAAAGGGGGATAAATTTGACATCCCTTGAACGTGACATGGGCTGGGACCGCAGTCCCAGGTGGCCGCTTAGCGTGAATTCCTATGGTATTGGTCGACGGTACGTGCCTGCCAGCCACAGCTGCTGGCCCTCGGAACACAATCAGGATTTTAGCAAGACTAGATAAGAGATACGCAGTAAAACTGCGCTGTTACTAATTTTGTGCAAGCGTTGGATAGGTACAGTACTGTGCTCCGCTAGCAAGAGCTGGTGACTTACAACGGTGGCCCATCTCTGGGCACCCGTGCGGCAGAACGGCCACCCCAAAAGCAAGTGTGACGTTGAGGATTTGTCATTTGCGGCCTAAGAGAAAGATCACCATCCACCTCCACACTCCAGATAAGGCTGGAACAAAATTTACATTCAGTAATTAGGATTTCAAGCGTAGCCATTGATGTGGGGTGTCGTAAGACAAATTGGAAATCCCTTTTTAAAATGCACTTACGGAGTCTGAAAAGGCACCGTCTCACACTTTGTGTGCGGGTAATTAGGACAAACCACAGGGCGATCACCTTGTCCCAGGCAGGGGTAGGGTTTACAGAATGCAATCAGTTTGTTGGGCTTGCAAATTCTGGGTAGAACTGAGTAACACCTGGGTCAACGTAAATCCGCAGGCAAGAAGATTAGAGCTGGCAGAAAAATAAAGAACTCTGTTGCAAGATAAAAGTAGATTGCAAAAAAATTGCAGTCCTGGAAGAGCTTTTCATTTCAGAGGTGGCTAATATCTGTAGGTCCCCGCATTTTTTTTACGTAAACGTTCCCCGCGTGCTCAGTGTTCTGTTTCGGGGTATTTCCAGTATCAGTCCCTGTGGGGAGCAGTTAAGCTCCTATTTCAAACCTTAATCCCTCAAGGATCTATAAATGTGTATATCTCTGTGCCCTGATAAACAGGTTTATGGCTGTCCCAGCAGTTCACCAAAAAATTGTCAGAACAATAAGAGCATACCCTAAACACTAGGTGTGAGTTGCTCTCTCTTTTGCACCCTTTCTCCCTCCACTGGTGAGTATTTCAGTAACCCCTGTGAAGAACAGCTTCCGTGAGAGACAGTCCGAATGCCCTCCATTCCTCAGCCCAGAATAGCCTGTTGCCTGATGGTTATGACATTCTCCTGCAAGATGAAAGATAGGGATTCAAGCAGTACAAATAGCAAAAGAAGGTGAAATTGGGCTTTCTCCATGCCCGGTTGCTGTTGCAGTGGGAGTAGGACATCAGCCACCTCATAGGTACCTCTGAAGAAAAGCAGTTGCACCTACTTTTTTTTTTTGTCTCCCCCAAGAGAGGACTCCAGGGGATGATGCAGGGTGGTACCTGTTTGGGGCTTGGAGTGAGATGTGGATGTCCCACGGAGGTTAAGGCTACTCTCAATCCCTCTTGGAGGCACCTCCATTAACGTCCATGCATGATACTCGAACGTGAGTTAGCTGTTGTGAATTAATCCCCTGAAGCAACTAGGTACCTGAAGGCTGGCATAGAGCTGGCCCTACCATTTTTATTCAGTTAGTACACTACTTTATCTCATATCAGGTCCCTAACAGCAACCAGTAGGAGATACTGTAGAGGAATATGTGTCCTGCCCTCATACCCCCTACAGTGGGTGGTGATGATCCATCACCCTGTGATTAACTTTCTCCTTCCATGAGCTCTCTCTGCTGTTGACAAGAAGGTATTGCAGTTGCTCATACCTCCTCTGTGCACTCTCCAGTGGCCTTCTTTAAAAAACAGTACAAAGTTATAATGATTAGCATTGGGAAGATTAAAGTCCCTTTTTAGATCATGGCCTGATAGGCAACTGCTGTCGCAATAACTGCATTGCAAAGGCCACCAATATGTCACTGGGGCGAATATCAAGCTGCTGTGGTTTGCAGAAATGTTAGCCTTCTGAAACTTTCCGTAGTGGATGGAAAGATTTACGGGTACAGTGATGCATATCTATCTCAAAATCATGTTCGGATTAAAAACTTCCTGCAGAGCTAATGTCAACGCGTGTTTCAGGTCACTGCCACAAGCTAAATCAGGTTAGAGATCAAAACCAGCAAGCAGGTACAAGGGAGGCTTGCAGCTATCAAATGGGATAATCTGTAGCATGATTTTTTTATGACTGTGCACCCGTAATGACATGTACAAGCAGGGAATGGTTGTGATCTGGAATAAACTTGCTGGTTTGCCTGGTTCTGGTGAAAATTTCACGTGCTTTTCAGTATCAAAACACTATGCAAAAATAACTGGTCAGATCCAGCTGCAGTCACTTGAGTTATGTGGGGAATGACTTGGCCTCATATGCCTGAGATCTGAGTTAACATAAAAGCTACAAGTTATTCCTAAATTGTTTTCATTAGGAAATCCTGAATAAAAAGGCATTTGTTAGAGTAATTATTTCTGTTATTTTTACACAGTCTGTGATTTTTTTGAACATCATAAATTATACATATAAATTATAAAACCAGCTATTATTTAATATGCTTTGGGTTTTGCATCAGGTGACTCATGCCACTGACTTTTTAATTAACTAAGGAGCCATCACTCTTGGCAAACTGTTCAATTGCATAGGTGCGTATGAGACAGTAATTGAATATAAAGGTTTATTTTTGTCCCTTTATTGATGTCAAGGGAAAACAGTGCAGTTATGAAAATGGAATAAACTAAACAGATTTCTTCAGCTCCTGCAGGTTGATTAGAACAAATGACTTTCCATTCCAGTTTTTATGAATGTATAGTTTTCTGAAAGCTTTATAATACTTCAGGGGAAGGAAATTGCAGGCAATAAACGATACAGGATGGTTCAGGTTATTGCAAAATAGAGGAATGGCTTTTATCTGGGGAGGTGAGATTTACTGTTCTGCTGTATTTCACTTACATGTTTGAGAAGGAATCAGATGCAGTGATTTGTACCTTATTATGGGCATGAAAACAGCATGAGGCGCTTGCTCAGTTACGCCATTTGCTGATGCTGCGTGCAGTCTTCGTACACCTTTTGTCTGCAGCCAGCAGGTGGGCAGTGGTGCCAAACCTTCGCTGGGCCCTACACTGCATTGGCTGCAAAGAGGTGGCCACAGAGGCCAGGGGTGGTTTGTCTCTCTTGGGCAGTGAAGCACCGGATGCATTTTTGTATCTCAGCTTGATAAATAGCACTGTTTTTTACGGAACTGAGTTTGGCTGAACAGTTCTTGCAGTGTAGAGAGCTCTACCAGTAAAGACTGCTTAAGAAACCCAGGGTATTTTTTTTTTATTATTATTATTTTTTGTAGAAAGCAGAAATATGGCAACAAAGGAAAAGCTTCAGTGCTTGAAAGATTTCCACAAGGACATCCTCAAACCCTCCCCCGGCAAGAGCCCGGGGACACGGCCTGAGGATGAGGCAGAAGGAAAGCCGCCCCAGCGGGAGAAGTGGGCAAGCAAGATTGACTTTTTCCTCTCCGTGGCTGGTGGATTTATTGGTTTAGGCAATGTCTGGCGGTTTCCGTATCTCTGCTACAAAAATGGCGGAGGTGAGTATTCCTTTATTTCATTCTCATTAATCGATCTGGCTGCCTCATGCCTACTGTTTTTCAGTGACTTCATCCAGTTTTTGAAAAGAAAAATCACACAGATTTCTTTTAAAAAGAAAAATCTGTTTTCTGGCTGCTTCATCAGCCTTTGGGAGAGATTGTTTTATTGCTTAATAGTTTTGTTAAAAATTAATTAGGGAAAAACAACAGCAATTTAAAATTTCACACTACTGAACCCTTTCTGCTCTTTTGCTTCTGCTACAGTTGAGTCTGAGTTTTAACCAAAAGACATGCTATTAATATAGACCAGTGGATTTCAGAATAAGAGCAGTCTGAGCCACGTGAAACTGTTGTGTGCCTAACCCCATTGTTATTGCAGATTTTCACTTTAAAAAGGTAAGAAAATGCCCTTTACAGCTTCATGTACCCATTCTGCTTACAGAGTTTGAACATGAGCAAAAATACTCCAGAAGATTATTCTATATTGGTATTAAAGTATTGAATATGTTTCTTTGTTTATGTATGTCTGTTAACACTTTTTAGACTATCTGTCTTGTGTAAAGTCACTCACTTCACCTCGATTTTGTCCTACTATATTTTCTCAACAGGTGCATTTCTTATACCTTATTTCATTTTCCTGTTTGGGGGAGGTCTTCCCGTGTTTTTCCTGGAGGTGGTGCTAGGACAGTATACCTCTGAAGGTGGAATTACATGCTGGGAAAAGATCTGCCCTATTTTCACTGGTTAGTACGTCTTGTTGTGCTTTACTGCTTAAAGACACATCTATAAACCATGTGCAGCAACAATGTTCCCCTCATGTCCATTAATTCAGCTATTTGCCATAGTAATTGAGGGTATGGTATCAGTTCCTGGAAAGGTAGAAGTCAGAGAGTCTGAAGGACAAAGTAAGGTATTGATTTTGATGCTATGATCTTGTTAACTGGCAGAAGTGCTGATAAGTAAGAAGAAAATTGCATATTATGCCTTAAAAAGGCAATTGCACATTTTATTCACAGGTATCGGAGGAAGTGTTGGTTTGGAAGAGTAGGACCTTTTGCATGGCCTTAGCGAAAACATTTTCAGAATATTATTCTGGTCTGGAAATGAAACTCTCTCTGCCATGTGGAAGGTTATCATTGGTGTCATCCCTCTGTTAGTGATACAGCCAAAACCTGGACAGCATTTTGTGGTAGGATTCAGGAACAGGACTTTTGTCATACCTGAGCGGGTCCTGGCAAACAGGCGTGTTGGCCCGGTGTTATTCGAGGGCCTTTGCCAGCGAATGAAGAATCACTCACTGCTCACAGGAACTATACGAATGCCACTATGGAAGCTAACTAGAATGAAAAATGAAAGACAGGTTAGAAAAATTACCAAGGATGTCTGTCTGATGTATAGATTACCCTTTACAGCCAGACAGCACAGGCAGAATCCTTCGGAATAATGACGTTAAAGAGAGGGGCACTCTTCAAATTTTTTTTTGGCGCTTCATGATGCCTTGTCTCTAGCTCTGCCACCGTCACTCTCCTGGGCATCTCTCTCCCCTTATATCACCCCAGGTAGAAGCGAGGGCTTTCTCCATGGCTCACGCTCCCACCTAATAACTCAGAATACTGCTGAAGTTGATGTAATTGTGCTGCTTTGGCTCCATTTTCTTCCTCCTCCTCCCACTTTTATGAAGCCTTTTTTTCTTTTTTTTGAGGACAAGGAAGGAATGTTCCTTGTTTAAATAAGAATCTGCCAGGCATCCATAAAGAGAAATTGTAGCTCTAATAATGTGACTGGCAGTATATCCTGCAGGAAGTGCAGCTGTACAGAGTAAATAGCACTTGCTCTGGTTGTTTTCACCTGGCATAAAATTAATCTTTGGCGATAAAGACTCTTGTTGCAATAAGGTTTGAAACTATAAAATAGAAGGCAGGTATCCCAGGTGCTGGGGTAGCCATCAGAGTGATCTTAAAGTGAAACTCTTAGGCTTTTTTGTCCTCTTGTAAGAGACTGCTCTAAGTTTTTAAAGGAAATATCTTTTTTCCCCTGTTATTCCTAAATGGCGAACTTTGTAAGCTTTTTGCAGCTAAAAGATTTTCAGTAAAGAGGACTTTTCAGAGTCCTTCCATTTTGTATTTAAAAAAATAGTGATTGCTTCTGGCTTAAGACATAGTGGGCGTCTGCTGGTGGACCTAAACTGCCCAGCTAGGAGAGAGATACCAGACTCAGGAGAGCAGTTGTGTATTTAATTTAAGCCTCCACTGGAACAGCATTCCGCCACCTCCCGAAGTTGTGTAGGACTTGCCCTTATCTGCCCATGACCCTGCTTATAAAAACAAACAGGGAACATTTTTTATTGTCAAATATTGATAGCGGAGTTAAACATTGATCTAATTAACCATAACAGCTACAAATATCGTGCTTCCTTTGCACAAGCGAAATTGGGGCAGAAACAGCAGCTTTAACACTGATAGCTTTGGAATTTTCCTTTTTAACTCATTCAAGAACTGTCTTTTTTTTTTGCACATAGGCTGAGCCGAGCCAGTCAATAAGTATGAGTGGTGCAGGGGCTGCCCAGCCGAGCTGCCTCCAAGGAAGCTGGTTTGGGGCACAGTCTGGTGAGAATGATGTTGCCCAAGTAGGTACCTAAGATGTGAGATGGTGTAGCTCGCAAATAAGCAAAGCATGGTGCCTTGGTTTCCTTTTAATAAAACCTGAAATAGCCAGGTTAGTGTTTAATTCGGTAGACGTCCCGCAGACCTCCCCTCCGAAGTCAGCAAACCACAGCCAGAAACTCAACCCTGAGTGCCCATGCTAGTCAGAGGTGGTGGCAGGTCTATGCTTATGTATGATCAAGTTGAGTTGAGCTTCCAACAGTGGTGTGGTGGGGCGGGATACAAGGCCACAAAACA